CTTTGAAAATGATGAGAAAATAAGGAATGTAATTTAAGCATGCTGAAAGCAAACTATTTACACAAGATTGGTACATAAATAGCTCTAATTCCTGCACTGACTTAAATTTTATCAGTTTCCAATTTAATTTTTCACATCAAAAATAAAACAGTGAGGGAGTTGGCTTTAACTATTTTGATTTTACAACGTGCAAACTAAATGCCTCAAATGTAAATGAGATAGCCCAAAACAGATGTTGTCAGATGAAAATATTTACTTAACATCATTGCTTCAGTTTACTTCATGCATTTCATAAGACTTGTTTAATAATCAGATTCAATTTCATAACAACATTGTGCCCTTCTCTCAAAAGCTTGGTATAAAGAATGCCTTAGAAGGAGAAACTGCACAACTGTAAGTAAAATTAATAAAGTTAAAAACTGGAATGTAAAGAGAGAAAAAACTAAGTTGTGTAATACTGAAAACCAACCAAAACTTTTTATAAAGTTCTAGATGCAGAAGAAAGCTAAGTTTTAAGTAGCATTCTGCACTACTTCACCAGAAGCATTAAAACACTGAAACAATCATCCCTACAAGTAAAACTGTAAATACTCCATTTTTAATTTTTTTTGTTTAGGGGTTTAGACTGTTTTACCTCATAGATGTTAGACCAAAGCCTCACAAGATACCAGCAGATGAAAGATGAATTGTCACTTAGGCAACTATTTACCTTGAAAATTGTCAGCCAATTTTTGGCCAAATTTAGAATAGCTGAATTATTTCAGCATGACAGAGACTTCAGGTTCTGGCTGGAATGGAATGAAGTCCCCACCACAAATAGCCAACCACCCCCACTCTATCGACTGGTGTAAGTTGATCAACAGGCATGACTGTAAGCTTCAGTGGCAGTAGGCAGATGAGTCCATTAAGTAGCTGTGTATACTCCCGCAGAGGAGGAGCTGGGAAGAAAGATGTAGAAATGAAGACCTCAGTTTTGCAGTGATATTTTGAGTGAACTCTTGAAAGGAATCCCTTTGACTTCTTTCTAGCTGTAGAACAACCTGAAAAACTGTTTGCAGGCTTTTTTTTTATTTTTAAATAAATGAATCTTCCAGCTGAGTATGTTTGGGTTGGTAAAATACTTTCTTTCAGGTCACTCGCTAGTTTCTTCAGATGCTACTAGAACAGTCAAGACAAGTATCAAAAAAATGCATCCAGCATCTTATAAAGAGTTAAGCAACCTAGATAAGACCTGGTAAAACTGCCTTTTTTCAGGAAATGACCACTCCAAAACATTAATTCAGTATATTAATAAATTAGCTGAGACACTATTACAATTAGATTTTAAGTGACACTGTTAAGCCTTCTTTCTCTGGACAATGGCTTTAGGGAAAAAAAAAATTAAATCCAGTAACTTAAAAATTCTTTCAAACTGACAAAACTTACAGGATTAGAAACATGAAAATCAAGTTGGTACATTTCAGTAGCCTGTGTTTTTCCAAAAGGAATGCTACTTGATATGAAGTGTTTGAAGAAATCTATAAACATGCTAATAAAAATAAAATACTTTTCTTGAACAGGTGTAGGTTGCTAAAGAGTAATGTGAAATGTGCAAATAACGTCTCTTTCTGTTACACACAACGCAGTATTTTATTATAAACTGCCAACAAAAAGAGTAGCTAATAGAGAGCTTTCGCAGCTTTAACTTCTTAAGACCAGAAGACTGAAGCCAGAACACAGGTGAGAAAGATCTCTCTTTGCCAGTATTTAACACATAGATACTATCTGATGCAGCTTTTTGTTTTGAAAAGCAATGCTGAAGAAAGTTTCCCTTCCCAATACCCTTCCCTTCTCCAATGCAAGACAACATCAAACACAATGAGGAGAAATACGAGCTCTAACAAATATTCGAAGACAAAACAGGCTCAGCCAAGACTTTTTTAGAATAAATTCAGTGCAATGGAAGCCTCTGTGTATGTACACCTGGTAAAGTGGACATTTTGGTAGAAGCACCATTTACTGGACAAGACCTATTAGCTTTGTATTAGGGTTGTGATGACTTTCCATTATGTAAACAAAATGCTGGACCTAGGTAGAGACATTTGTTCCTCTTATGCACTCATGAGAACAGTAAAGATGTCCTCTGTTGCTTACCTGGGAAGCGAGGCTTGGAAGGACACCTCTCACACAATGGGCTGTAGCTACCAAAATTTAAAACCTAATCTAGAGTTTTCCATAGCTACACCAATAACAGGAGCAATCTATGTTATATGATCTTCAGATAATTACCAACCACCTGTGCCCCAAGACCAGGAATATGTTCTTTTTATTTTTGCCTCAGGTAGAAAACTTTTGCTAAATGAGAACAGAAAATACAGTCCAACTGTATTTGTTATGCAAGGAAGCGTATTATCCAGGCTGGAGGAAGAAAATAAAAGGAAACGCTTCTTATCTTGTTTCAAAGCTTGTTGGTAGTTTGCAGAAAAGAGAAATCAAGTAGCCTCTCACCCTTTAGCTTTAACTTCTCTCATTCTGCTATCCCTTCTACATACTTTTTCAGTTTAAAACTGAACCATTTTTTTCCTCATTTGCAGATCAGAAGAGCAATATATTTCTGACTGCAGTTTTTTTTTTAATAATTTCATTATCTGCTTTTAATTGCATATTCATTCTTCAACCTGAAGAAAGGGTGCCATAACATATTGTAACACTGCTGAAAAAGATTATCTCCGACAACTTCAATACAGACAAAATACCAGATGCATATGGAAAAGACACTGAAGGTCAATCAAGATAATTCAGTCTGATGCTAGTAGTTAGAAACAGTTTCACATTGATCATTACTTTGCAAAAGTGAGTTTCTTGTAACATAAAGGAGGGACCAATTAAATTCTCCCCAAATTTAGGGGATGGCAGTTTTAATACCTTCCAGTCCATTTACTATTCCTAGACAAGTAGGAAAAATGTCACTATAAATCTCCACCCTATCTCCAATATAACCAGGTGTTTATAGCTATTCATTTCAGGCAATAGTTTCTGCTATTCATCTACTGCTTCTGCCTATTTAATCACATTTCATATATCCCATTTACTCTCTTCCCTTCCCATGTGGAATTTCTCACAGGAAAATACAGTTAAGGAATTCTTGATGGAACTCCCTTGCATTTTATTATGAACCACCATTAAAACACTCTCAAGGACTGACAATAGAAAAACAAATACACGCAACAGGCTCAACTTCTTTTTTATGCATCTTTTCTTTTGGTTCCTCTTTCCTTTTCATCTTTCTTCTCAAGTTTCTGCTATGTTATTCCACAAGCAATAACATTAGCAACATGATCCTATACCAAATATAAATCTCAGAAATGAAGAAGTTCTTATCCTCCTTATATTTCATATTAACCACAGGGTCCTTTTTCCAAGAGTTAGTTTCTGACATCTGAGTTTAGCTATACTACTGTGCACAATACATCCTTTTTGTGACTGATATCTATACCCCATGTCCTCATACGTAACCAGGTGTGATGGAGACAAGCCAAGACTTTCGGTGGTCACTGGAAATAGAAAATTTAAGAATCAAGATTACCCAACATAGCAAATGCTGTGACCAACACACTCATCTGTTTGGTGCTGTTGCTTACAAGTCAACGAAGACCAGACTTATCTAGGTCTGAGTAACTTTGCCTTGATCAGTCCGTAATATAGAAGTCACTTCCAAAACAAAACAGGCTAAAAAAAAAATTAAAATCCCAGCTTATTATTTTTAATTGAGATTTTTAGATTCCAAAGGGAAATCAAGCTTCCTGAAACAGAATATACCAGTCATATCAATATCTATATAGGTATTATCCTCAGTAGGCTTTTGAAACAATCCCAATTCAGCAGCTCCTCCAGGCATTTTACACTTAACATTGCTTTCTTCTCACATGCTTAAATAAGCATACAATACAAAACATTCATGTTTTACTTAAACATTTATGCTTCAGCATCTTAATGAACCAAAGGCTTGGATCACATGATTATACTAAAAGAGTGATTCCCAAGCTACTTTATGCAACAGTTCCCTCCCAGATTACCTCTACTGCTTACTCTGCTCCTCATAACTAGCCAGGGTACAACCCCTCAATGATGAGATTAAATAGCTTCTGGTACAGCAAAGTATGTTGAACCTCAATCATCTCTTTCTTTTAGGTAGCTATGCCTGAAAAATCAGAATGCACTGTATCAAATTTACCAAAAATAAACAGGCATGTTTACTTTATCTCACATTAAGAAACACCTATTTTAAGAAAACAACCTCTTTTCTCTGCTTACAGGGATAAAACACACTGTGAAATTTATCATTAACAATTATACATTCTGAAAGATAATGCAAATAAGTAGTACTGGAAATTCACATATGTTCTTATGCACAACCTCCATTTTGATATTTACATGCTTGTTTCACTTCTGCTTACATGAGTTTTGTACATTGTAGTTACACTGATATTAAATCAGCAGGAAACTAATTTAACAAAACAGTGGATAAATAACAGCACCTTAGGGGGTCTGAAAATTCCTAGGAGAAAAAAAAAAAAACATATATCAACAGAAATACTTGGATTTTCCATGAAAACGTCATCTATTCAGGACTGGGAAGAATGGGGTATGCTAATGATATTGCTGCCTTAGAAGAGTGGTAGTTGATAGTCAGATTTGCCCCCCTCTCAATTCAGTATGCAGATCTTCTGGGTGGTAAGACTTAGAAGCACCGATAAACATTGTAGTAGAAGTGCTTTTAACTAATATTGACCAGTTGTGAGTTACAGGAGCTTATACCAAAAGAAGTGAGGTGGGACTATACTCCACCAATACTGCAGTTTCCAATGGAGAGTAGTTTCAAATAAAATCTATCATCACTGTTTAATCCACTGTATTTTGTAGGCTTCTGCAGCAAGACAATAATGTTATGATTATCACCATTTAAACCAACCACATGCAATAATAAAACCAATTTTCTGCAAAAAGAGTAAAATAAATACCTGCAGGACTGCCAGCATTTTCTCCTTGATGCAGCTGAATACCAGCAGAATCTATAGAGTTTACTGTAACTGTCTGTAGATTTGGCAATTGAGCAGTGCTTAGACTAACTGGAGTTGACGTCAACGCCCCACCTGCTGCAACTTGACCAAGAGTGAGAGTCTGCACAGGGGTTAGAGTTATTTGTTGACCAGGTGCATTCTGAATTTGCAAGTTCTGCAAGTTCTGAACTCCTTGCACTTGAAATGTCTGCCAGGTTATCTGCCCAGAAGGGGTCACTGTTTGTGCCTGAATTAAAAAAGTTCCAGGATTCAGCTGCAGTTGAAGATTTTGAAGAGCCTGTTGAGATATACTTTGACTTGCTTGCACACCATGGATTGTCTGTTGCGCAATACCTTGTACAATCTGGGCTTGACTGGTTGGCTGCTGAGACTCTTGAAGCTGTATGTGTTGTACAATTGGCTGTGCTGTGGAGACCTGAATATTCTGAGCCTGCGTGTCATCAGAGACTGATGTCTGGATGTAATTTCCCTGAAGATCAGAACTATGAACTTGACCACTAGTTGTGGTCAAGTTGTTTGCATTTTGTTCCAATATACTTGAACTGTCTATGGTAACGGGCAATTGCGATGAAGATGATGTTGGCACAAATAAGTCATTATCAGTGGCGGTTTCTGTAATTTCCGGAGAAACTTGCTCACCAGTCCTTTCAGAAGTATCTGAACTATCCATGGCCTGTCCAGTATTTATCAAGTGCCCATCTGCATTAATGCCAGCTGTCATGGTTTGAGAACCACTGCCAAGTCCCAGAGAATCTAGATCAACACTATTGATGGGTACAAAAGTAATATTCCCTGGCAGTCCAAGAGGAACGTTAGCAACTACTTGTGCTTGGCCAGGAAAAGACGAACCACCAATTGCAACTCCCTGAACCTGGACTTGACCAGACTGCGATAAGATATTCTGAATATTAGCTGAAGGTGTTCCAGAGGCAATGATGGTTTGATTAGAGCCAGGAATGATCTGAATTTGACCAGTTTCTTGATTTATACTGCTATTATCAGAAGAGGCTGCAAAGCCAAGTTGAACCTGCTGACCATCCGCTGTCTGGATCTGGGGTATTACTTGGTATTGTACGTTAGACACTGTACCATTCGACGAATCTGATCCTGGTGCAACAGAAAAGATTTGTTGATTTTGCAAACTCTGAATAGGAAGGACATACTGCCCACTTGAAGTTACTGTGGCAGCACCTGGAATCTGTACTATATTACCAGCTTCATCCTTTATAGTGGCAGGAGCTGCAGACAAGACCTCCCATCTATTTGGAGTTCCTGTTAATTGCACAGAAGCCAAATCCCCTGTCTGAATAAAAAAAAGAAAGAAAAGACAAAATTAAAAAAAGAGACTTACAAGCTATATGCTAGAATAGTCATGCAATTTAACACTAGAGATTGATACACTACTGGAAAACATGCAGTGCAGCCCATATGAACCACAGCGACTGGATTAGAACTATGAAATACAGATTTTGTACTGAGCTAATGCCTAAGTCAGGGTAACCAACCTGTGGGTTGTGAGCTGCATGTTGCTCACGAGCAGGTCAAATGCAGCTCCTGTGTCATGGCTACATCAGGTGACCAGCAGCAGGGTTATTCTGGTGTGGGGGCTGCTGGGTAATCCAAATCCCTGGCTGTGGGAAGAAGGGAGCTGGCAGGGGCTGCTGGAGCTGTCATCACCAGGTTACCCTGGGACTCAGCCACACTCTTTATCTAGCCTGGCACCTATCACACTGAAGTGGAGGAATTGCCACGAAGCCAGCGTCGCCTGTATCTCCTGGATCTCCACTGCCTTTTGACTCTGCATTATACACGGTATATATGTGCATGTTGTGACTCTCAGCAGTACAGAGAGTGTTAGGATGACAACTAATGGGCCAATGGAAAGACTGGACAGCCTCAGTTTAAGTTACACATAATACAAAGTCCTAATATTTATAAGCTTGCATGAGTTACTGTTTCACTAGGGAAGAAGGCCTCTAAACTAAGGACTTTTACACTGAAATCACATTTGGATTAGTCATACATATCCGTTAGGGGGAAAAAAAAAAAAAAGTCTATCTTCATTAAGTTGGAACAATAGAAAAGGTCAATGTTTCAGAACAGCCCCCTGGATGGTTAAAGATTAAAGAACCTAATGTAGTATGCTTTTGTTTCTTATTCAGTAAAGAAAAGGTAAATTGCACTTACCTTTCTTTACCAAAGCAAGCTTTTTCAGAATAGAGTATTAAGAATTAGATTTAACAACCTTCAATGCTTAGCACAAATTTGTGTAGTCAACCAACTTGGTATTGTAAATAACCATCAAACTAAAAAGATGTAGTTAAATTTCTCCTTATTTTACAGCACTACAGTAAACCAATGGAATAACAATATTTAGCAACAAGTAACTTGTCTTACAACTCATTCAGCTGTGGAACAAATTTTGTTTCTTTGGCAGACTCCACAGGACATAGAAAGAAAAGCTCTAGTTTGCTGTTCTGCACTGGTCCTGTGGCTGCTCCTGGTAGGGAAGTTACCAAAGCATATCGCAGCTTCCTTCTGATGCTGTGTTCTGATTTCCTTTAGAATAAACCCTGGATATGCAAAATACAGCACACAGCTTACTCCTCTCTAACATGGCATTGAGACTTAGCCAGCCTGAATGAATCCTGTGACATGCATCTGAGTGAATTTAGTCCACAGTGTAGGCTGGGACTTTGCTAGTTTCACTTTCTTATCCTATTCCAAGCTACAACACTAAAATGTTTACATGCACAAGAAAAATACTCTATTTAAGTCTGAGTACTTACGAAAAAAATAGTTTTACTGTGCTTGGCAAGCTTCATTTCCAAAAGAAAACACACATCTTGGTTCTAAATTTATCTCAAGAGTTGTACAGATAATAATAGCGAACAAAAAAAGAATGCTCGCCTTCATCTGCCCTCAAAGATATATAATCTTTCAGGTAGTTTATTAGTAAATAGATACAGCACCACCAGAACAAAACTAATTTTATGGCCTTAATGCTTCAAGGATGAGAAAGAGAAAATGGAGTAATGGTAATTCCATTGTATTACTTTCATTTCCTCTTATACTGATTAGCCTTTCACTTAAAGTACATATTTAAATCCTTAGTCTTTCAAGCTTATGATTCATGACATTAGAAAAAATTATGCAATATTCCATATCCCATCCTCTTATCTAGAAAAAGGCAAAAAATTCCATTTTCATGTGCTACCACATTAGCTTTATAGTCTTGTGTTTAATATTGTTTACACATAGGTACTGTTTGCTGAAATTCTGCTAAGAAAGTTCGTAACTACTCAATTTACTAGTATATAAATACTTACTAACTGAAGGTTTTATAAAGTATCAAAAGACCTATAAAAGTCACAGGTAAACATCATTCAGAAAAATACCAAAAGCAAGAATATGTTTGCTATATATTTAATGTATGTCATTATAAAATAAATAATGAAGTGTGCTGATAGTATCTGTTAGAACAAGAGAGAAAGAAAAAGTAATGAGAACCACTACCAGTCTGATATAATTTCTCACTGATTTAAGACTATGTACAAGGAGATGTTGAATGTTCAGGCTATACCTCAACTGACCTAATATACAATAGTATGTCTATGTCTACTCATAAGCAATACATAAGTATCCTCCACAGAAATCGTTCAGAGGGAACCTGTCTCCTTCATGATATGGGAGTGACCTACATTATTCTCCTCCCCAAACATATGTTGATTTCTGTATCACCATTCAATGGCCTTTGCCCTTTACATGTTGGGAACACATCTCTCCTCACCTTTTCATAATCTAGCAAAATCTTCCCTCAAATCCTGCTCTGTAGGGGTTTTAGCTCCATAGAGCCGCTCTTTTAGTAGATGCACTTGTCAGTCCACGGAGAAGTTAATGCACATAGATCTGAAGCTATTGCTGCACATAGTACATGAAATGCCTGTTATTCACATGTTTCTGCCGCAGCTGGCTCTATCAGACACTACCAGATGAATCATGAGGAGGGAGGGGCAAAAAGAGGGTGAGGCTTTCAAGAACCTATCTGGCAGCTATCAAAACTACTCATATTAAAGCATGAAAAAAGCCTGTATGGTAAAGAGAATTTGAGGATGATCTCTAACCTCAGCTGGTCACCAACCTGTCATAACAAGCCTGACTGCTATATCCATTCTCAAAGTCTGCTGAGCTAGTAAGGCATTTCTTGGACTTCTTTTCCTGCGAAAAAGAGTAGTAACCTTTCACTGTATCCTCAAGCAATTAAGCATTGTTGTAGTAACGCAAAGTTCTACCAATGATGTATGAGCAGCAATATCTACAGCCCACTCACTTACTGATCTAACAGGCCAAAGTTTGTTTGCTTTCAGTCATCCATGAAAAATACTTAGAAGGTACAGATAAAGAAACAGTTCTTTTCCTTATCAACCGATACTCAGGCTGCAGTTATTTGGAAGCTGCTCCTTTAAAAGAAGGCTGGACAGTTGCAATCCAAAGGCTCTGTGTCAAGAGAAAGGGACAAAGATCTGAGGAAAGTTCAGCATTAGCAGTACTCAGCCAAGGAGGAGAGAACAGGAAGCAACGGGGAGTTCACTGGAAGCAGGATCAGGAAACAAGAGAAAGAGACAGGAACAGAGCAAAGAGTAGCTGGCACAAAGCATGGGAAGCATTAAAATCAAATTATAACATCCACCTGAAGAACGGTTAAGTACCACCAAGGAGTGGAAGCAACAGCTGCTGTTCAGCCTATCTTTTGATTCTTTAAGCAACCTCCTCTAATTTCCAGCAGGTAAAATAAAGGGATCTCTCTGAGTCAGTATTTTCATCCCTGAAGAATAATAAATAAAAACCTAGTAATTGTCTTCTTCAATTTGTTTAGAGAAAATTAAAGCAACATTGAGTCAAATGTGGAAGGAGGTAAGAGAAACACATACAGAAGGTAAAATACCTTTAAAAAGTGAGCTAAACCATGTTGCAGGATGGGGCTTGGGTTTTAAAGAAAACCCACATCCTTCACCAAAGTAAAATTGGAAAGGGGAAACACCCCTGTAAGAGCTGGTGTATGTTGTAGGCACCTGCATTTCAACATGTCAAATGTGATCAACTGGACACATGCCATTAGCCATCAGTATTTTGTTGCTAAAGAACTACCAAACATTTATCTGTGCCGGTCTATTTGTGGACTGCTTTTTGCTGCACTTTTCAGAAAGTCACTTTTGCCCCATTTAGTCCTGGAGCAAAAGCATCAGCAAAACAAGCAGAGGTGGACAGATAATGAGTCACGAGCTCCTAAACATTTAAAAAATCACATACCTAATGAAGAAGATTGGCCACTGCCTCATCCAAATTGTTGTTTTATGAAAGAGTTAGGGCTCTAATGCATGAGTTTAATACCATGTGTTTACCAAGCTACAGTAAACTATCTGTACATTCTTAGGTCATTACAAATACAAGATAAAATGCACTTGCTTCAACTCTTTCATTAAGGTATGAGCTAATACATTCTATCTTGTATTTGCCATAGGTTAAAAACACATTCAACATCAGTCACTGTGGTTCAGCTGACACAAAGCTGCTTGTTAAGGCAAATTAATTCTGTTGCATGTTTCAGCCCTCTGCCAATGAAGCCACTCAATTCAAAGAAATACATTTGCCCAAATCAAACATTTTGAGAATCAAACAATGTTTCAGGGAAAATGTATTATCTGGGCTGCTTAAAATGTGACTTTAAAAGATAATTCCAATCTGGTGAAACGTATCTAACACTTAATTGTAAGGAACATCTAAATCTTTTTGCTTGAGATGAACAACTGGATCCAGAACTTGAACAGCTTAGTTTAGATCAGCAGAAATTCAGAATTTGTCTAAATTAAGACAATAAAATGTCCCTAACATTAGCAGAAACAAAAAAGCTGCTGCATTGACAAATGAGATACAGCAACAAGGAGGCATTTTTAACTAGATTGTATGTCACTTCATTTGTTAATTATTAATCTATATATATGTATTAATCTCCATATAACTGCATGCCAAACTAGAATTTTGCATAGAAGTTTGTGTGAAATGGTTCATTTCCCTCATGCCTTCAACTTGGGTGCTGAAGGCTCTACCCAATCATGAAGAAGATCGAGACAGAGGACCTTGGACTAGTCAGCCTCACTCTGATTTTGGGGAAGGCAGTGCAGCAAATAACCTTGGAAAACAAAAAAATCCCACCAACCACCCCCTCCCCCCCAAACACTAAAATAACCTTCAAATAACCTTGGAGGGGTGGGAAGAGAAGGTGATCAGAAGTAGTCAGTCAGGGGAAATGATGCTTTATTAAGTAACCTGACAACCTTCTGTGATGAGACAACTGACTGGTAGATGGGGTTAGGCAGGGGACATTATTTATCACTACTTCAGTCAGGCTTTTGACTCTGTTCCCCATAACATAAGAAAAAAAACTTTTTTTTTTTTTACCATAAGGGTGATCAAACCCTGGAACAGGCTGTGGAGTGTCCATCCTCGGAGATAATCAAAACCCACAGAACACAGTCCTGAACAACCTGCTCTCGTTGATTGTGTTTTGAGCAAGGAGGTTGGACCAGAGAATCTCCAGAGATCCTTACCAGCTTCAACTGTTTTATGAATTAACACATGTCTTACTAACGTTTCAATATCAGAGAGAATTTTTTGTTTTATGCTGTTTTTAAATATGGAAATGTTTTAAACCATGTATTTTCTTACTTTCTCTAAAACTGTGAAGAGAAATAAAAAAACATTTTTAAGAACATCCTTAAAGCACCTGTAAAAGAACTTCTACACTTGGTTCTGATCCAACACTAGGAAGCCATAATTGGAATGTGAAAATCAAAGAACATTTTAAAACATGAGCTTCTGGACAGCATCAGGGGAAACATACTGTTAGGCACTATATTCTACCTGAAACTTCTCTGTTTTGTAAAATTAACTAACAGAGAGAAGCAAGACAACCGCAGGCTGACTTTTCCATGGTGGCTAAACACTTTCTGGTACCTCTGTTCACATCCAGAAACTTTGCATCAGGAACCTATAGTATCACCCATAAAGGAGAAGATGGATGTCAGAATCAATTTGAGCTTCCTCAAAACCATCATACAGGCCAGAGAACTGAGAAGTACGGGTAACTGACACATGGGATTTACCCATCTTTTTGTCTAGTGGAAAACATGAAATTTAAAATGCCTTCATATTTCTCTAACCTATCAGCACTATTTCCACCTAAACTGATCTTAAGCTAGTTGCATCTCAGATGGTTAATGTTCTGAGGCATAAACTGGAATTCCAGATTTTCAATAAGTTCTGTGAAGCACTGATACTCAATTCTAAAGCTCGAGGTATGCCAAAAGCAGTCTTAAAACACTCCAACCTTTATTTGTAAAAGATACAAACAAATGCTTTGAGCACAGCAGAGAAATGATACTCATCTTCCCCACACTGCTAATAATTAATCTCTCCAAATGTTTTCCACATATTGTTGGTAAGCAACAACACAAATAAATCATACCCCCCGCCTTTTTTCTTTTTTTTTTTTCCTTTTTTTTTTTTTTAAGGCTAAAGAATCAGTGCAGCCTGCAGTACACTAGATGCAGCTACATACCACAACTGGGGCAGTCATCTCTGACAGCTCCCATTCTTTTGTGGCTGTGAGAACCAACAGTTTTCTCAGCCAGCCTGCTACTTTTCTCAATTCACCCACTCTCCAGTCCTTGAACCCCATGCTCCCATCAGTCTTGCACTGTATCCTCACCTATCCCAGTTATGCCCAGCACAACCATAAGAACGGCCCTTGGGAGCATGACAGTTCAACAGCATGTCCTTAGCTTTGCACTGCAATGAAGTAAAAGAACGTAAACAACTGGTTATCATTTCAACTTCGTAGCTTCTTAAACACTCATCTCACCATACAACTGATCATCAACAGTTTGTTGGACCTAAATTATAGAATCTGTTCCCTCTTTTGTTTTCTCCATGCAGGACTCTGCCACCTCTGCTTTGCTTCTCCTTTTCACCTAATGCCAAAATCTTTCCAGATGTTTAAACTGGAATGAAACTAGAGCATTTATAACTGAACAAAACAGAATCCTAAATATGAAAGTTTAAAGTAGAATTATTAGCCAACGATAAACAGTGAAAAAGCAAGACCCAAACTAAAACCTCTCAGATTTAACATTCCCAAGAGGGGGAAAAGACATCCACAGAGGTCAAAAGATATGAGCTGTCACTCTAGGTCAGGCAGCAGCGCATACCATCTCAGCAAGGCTTTCACACATACCAGCAGGCAGCTATATTCGAGGGGAAGTTTCCATGGCAAGCATTTGAACCAACCATGGATGCAGTAGTGTAGCAACTGAGGAAAAGATTCTCAGGTAAGCAAGCCACAAACTCAAGGCCATCTACATTAAAACCAAACACCAGCAGGCAAAACACAGAGCACTGGTGTTGGATGATTGTAGGCAGAATAAATCATGGTGTCAAAGCCTAAACTGAAAGACTGCAGACTCCATCAACGAAAAAATACAACATCAGCAGTAATGCCTGCTAGTATTCTGTCATCCAAAAGTAAATATAGCTCTAACCACAATCCTGGGCCAAGCTTGTGGACTAGAGACAGCCTGCCCAGTTCACTGACAGGATGGAAGGGAGAAGAGGGTTGAGTTTAGTTCTGTCAGCTGTTGTCTTCACTTGCTGTCCATACAAAGCAGTTGCCACTTTCATTACTCTCTTTATTTCCACACTAATCCTTTCAGTGGCATAAAAGTGGGGTCCACTCAAACAGCAGGCTTGGATTAGATACCAACATAGAATCGGTGAATAATTTGTTGGAAAGGACCTCTGAAGGTCATCTGGTCCAACCCTGGGCTCAAAGCAAGGCCAACTAGATCACAGCAAATACAATCACATTTGCTCCAGCTCTTCCCCAAATCCCAGACATGCAATATTCCCTGCATTCCTATGGGAGTTTTGTTGTTACTGTTGCTTTTAAATCATACTGCTGGTCTCTTGGGGAGCAGCTGCAGCATACCATTTCAGCCAGGAAAGCAGTGTGCAGTTAACTGGCTAGGCTAGTATACTGGCTCCAGCCCTGCCAGTTCCTACCAAGCGAATGTCAGTAAGGCACTAACAAAATAACCCCCCAAAACACAGCACCACTATCCTTATACATGCAAGCTCTTCAAATGCTTCTAAAGGAAACAACTAGTTTAACTTTTACTATCCATTTATACGGCCTGAGAGTTCTACCAGTCATTCAGCAGTCAGAACTGCAGTCCGGGTACAGAAGATAATGGGAAGGGGCTGCCTCCCTATTGCTACATTAGGCACCATCACCCACACACAGGTATCAAACCAATTCATCTATATTCCTGGGAAAGGGATGCGCATCACAAGCCCCCGGAAGACAATGTATCTGTGTCCACACATACAGACTTCATTTTCCATGAGTTATGAGGTACCTACAATTTAAGCCTTTTTAGCTCCTCCTGACTTCTTCCACACCCCAGTAAGATACACTCGGGGGATCACAAAAAAAAAAAAAAAATCTTTATTGCACTAAATCCCTTCTGGCATTCTGTTTTTCACAAAAAATGTATTTCAGGGACCTTAGTCCCTCCCCTCCCTTTATTAAGGTCATCTTAATTAACTCCAGTGTCTTAACTCAGCTACTGTAGGTATCTCTTCCAATTTATATTTAGTTTCCACCCAAAATATTCTGAATCATTCAAGAGCTATGTTGTAGGAGTGTAAAAATTACCAGAATGCTATAACCTAACTCACAGCAGATATGTAGGAGGGGCCTATCTGCATGTATGAAAAGTAGTGCGTGAGTTTATATTCATATTTAGTTTTAAGTAAGATTTTGGCTTCTCTTGAATTGCTTCCGCCTTGCCCTGAAAAACCCCTTATACATAAACATAACAAAACATGTGTTTAACGGGAATAAAGAAGTACTATTTCAAAACTGCTTTGCCCATTTTGAACTGTCAGGAACCATTTGTCCTGTATTCTGGTACCCTGTCAGACCTAGCATTGCTCATGCTAAGCATCTGCAAGATGTACAATTCCAGCTTTAAAATGAGAACAACCTTAAGGTAGATACAAGAAAGCAAGCTATCATTTAAGCATCATTCATTTTTCAATATGTATGTTTATGCAAGAAACATATCCAACATTCCACTTTTCAGCACTGTATGCATCTAGTCTTATGAAACAAATCTTAGAGGTATCAGGCACTTAACAACATCTAGAAAGATTTTTAAAAACATACAGCCTAAGAAATAAACAGGTTCAGTAGAAAGGACACTTGAAAAGGAGTCAGAATTCTAATATATTTTCAAGTTCTGTCAATAGTCTACAACCTGCTCTGTGACCTCAGACAAGTATTTTGCTTCCGCTTCCCTCTATGTAAAATAAGCTGAAATGTACAAATGAAAAGCATTTTAAAGTTTAGCGCTTGAGTATTTAGTAAACTTTACATTTTGACATCTGTTAAAGCTTGCCAAAGACACTTCACCCACCAGTACAATGCTTTGCAGTTTTTCTTCCTATCTGCAGAATCCTAAAAGCACACAAAGCTGTTCTACAGCAAGTTTAGAAAACACGATGTTTTTAAAATGAAAAAAGAGGATTTTCTGCTTTGTTAAAACTTTTCTGTAAAAAAATATTTTTTTTGTAATTTAGAGGTAATATATGTCATTTCCCAAGCACAAAGGCCAAAAAAGACATCATCATGTCATTTTAAAAGATAATTTGGAACTCCCTTCTAATAAGCTGGCATTTTTAGGTATAGGTTATTTAGAAATGCACCATCTCTTAACTTTACCAGCATATATCAACAAGAGAGTTTTGCTCGACCAATTAAGGAACATTGCCAGTTTCCATTAGGCTTTTGTTATGGATATTGTTGAACTAGCTTCAACAAGAACGCCTTTCTAGTATGCAAGATCCATCTCAT